TTGAAATTAACTATCTAGGTAATATACTACATGATGCACTATTTCCAATATTTAAAGTTTATTTTTTCTCATGTGCATACATCCTGAGGTTGATATGATTGAATTGAGGGATTTTCAGCATTGAAATAATATCTTCTATTAAATTTTTGAGGTGCATCTTAATTTGATTGTTTAATGCCTCACTCTTATATAAACTTTTTTCATATATAGCCCGAGACCTAAACTTAGTATAGATTAGATATGTTTCCTATGACTTGGGCTTGGTGACCCTAGTCTGGGTCCAGCTAGGGTCCAATTGGGTTGATGCTGGGTTGGGACAACCCTAACCCAATCCAACCTATTAGGACCCCTGTATATGGAATTATGGACTTTGTTGAGCTTTTATAGATTTCAGACATAGTGTGAACCGAAGTGAAATTTATCTCACATTGCGTCTAGAGACAAGTTCTATCAATAGGGTATTTCAATGTTTTAAAACTCTGCGATTTGGATAAGGAATCGTTAATATGAATTGGCAGTTGGCTTAGACCAACTTGGTTTCTCGTTAAAATTGAGAATCAACTTGGTTCCCATAGACTCGCCGGGTTCTGTTAGAGAACGGAGCCAGTCTATTGGGGAACTAGGTGATATGGGCTGACCGGATTGCTTAGTTCACATATTATATTATTATATTATTTTTAAATTTTTTTTTTTTTTTTGGGGATTGATACTTTTTTTTGAGAGAAATTCCATAACTTTATTGAGTTAAAGGGAAATTACAGAATTGGAAACAACAATCTCATAAAGATTGGAACCTCTTTTGGCAAGAGTATCAACCAAAACATTGGCTTCCTTAAAAACAGGAACAAATGAAAAAGGAAAGGATAATGAGAGATCTAAGATCCGGCAAAGAAGCGTCTTTAACTCCCAAGGAACCTTCTGTTCACCTTTGCACGCCTTGATCACATTTAAAGAGTCACCATCAAGAATACATTGGTTACCTGGATTTCTATAAAAAGAAAAGCGTAAGCCAAAAAAGAGGGCATAAAGTTCCGCATAATTTACAGTTCGCATGCCTAATAGACCAGCATAAGACAAGACGACATTTCCATACCAATCATGAAGCACACCACCAAAGCCTGCTGGCCTAGGGTTCCCCAAAGAGCTGCTATCACAGTTAAGCTTATATATTCCTTCTGAAAGGGCCACCCACTTACCTTTAAGTCAGTATTTCCTGAAGCCTAATTGGTACTTACACTAGAGAATTCATCCTCGCTTATCCAGATGGCTGGTTTACCTGATCGATATGGGTTTTAAAACTCAGGGATATTTCCTTGGCTCTATGAGGTGCTTGATATAGAGACATTTGGGGTTTTCTAGGAACTTCCAATTTTTGTGAATTCTTAAAAAGAAATTTGTTTCATGCGGGATGGACCAAATTTCTACAATATGTGGTCCTAAGGTATAAAGCATCCATCTTAAAGATGGATGCATATAGGGGTCCATCTAAAAACAATTGAAATTAACAGTTCAAATATTTTCTAAATATAATAATTATTTTTAATTTTTAAATTTTATTTATTTTTCATATTCATAATCTCCATGTTAAGGGTGACATGTTCTTAAAAATTAAATAAAAAAATTCATCTCCAAAATAGATTTTAAGAGGTGACTCATTTTTACATGGACTCATATAAACAGTGTCCGTCTTAAAACGTTTGGTCTAAAGACATCTTTTTGTGGTCGAACTTTGATTAACCTTTCATTGTGGTTACGATAAAGAATAGATATATTTATGAATGTGGTCATATGTGTTTTCGTGAAGATTAGTCTCTGATGCCTTTGTGCTTTTGCCGAGCCTCTCTCTTTTAAGATAGGTATTGGGACATGTTTATCATACTCTATCGTTTAAGCGGCCAATAGCGTTTTCACTGCTGTTAAGCCTGGTCCCATACTTAATGTACTGTAATATTCAGTCTGGTCATTACTTTATACTCATTACGTTAATACATAAGGCTATTTTGAATAAAAAAAAAAATCAAAATTGAAAAAAAAAAAAATGTGGACGAAGTTTATGAAAGTTAATTTTTTTTTTAATTAGATAAAAATTAAAGTATGCTTCTGATAATTTGTCATAGAAAATTCTTAAAATCTATGATACATCTCTAGCCATCCAATTTAACTTTTAATTGTTAGAAATAATTGTGACATCCTTAAAACAAAGATATTTAATAGTATACAATCCCAAAAGCAAATAATCTAAGGGTGAGGTTTGTAGAAGGTTGTCTCATTATATTGTACAAATAAGGCGTGCCAATAAAATTTACCCAGATATGTCGTTTCAATGTCAAAAACCTTATGATAGCTCAAAAATATCTTTCCATCCTCAGTTATCAAATTCAAAATTTTAAAAATTACACAAATCGAGTAAATCAAGAAAATTGGTTGTCAAAGATAACTAGTTACAAGATGCATTATTTTTTGAACTTAAATTTTTTTTTTTCTTCATGTCTAATCATCTCGATGTCAAGATGATCACTTGGAGCGTTCTCCAATGCGGGAACACTCTCCTCGGTAGGATTTTTGAGGTGCACCTTACTTCAACATTATAAGGTTGCATCCTTGTATAAACCTTTTCTTTGCTTCAACAACAGTATAAGGTTACATCCTTACATAAACTTTTTCCTAAGTATAATAGTGTGCAATATTAATTGGGTGGTGTTCGTATAGAGCAAATGCTCTAAACAATCAAAGTAAAGTGCACCTTCAAGTAGTGTCGAGAAATATGGTTTCAATATTGAAAATTTTGTGATACCCTTAAAATATATTTTCATCTTAACTTATAAAGTTTAAAGCTTCAAAAATAATGTAGATCAATCATTTCTATTAAAATCATGAAAATTAACGGTTCAAAAATGTATTACAAGTTGCACTATTTCCAAATCTTAAAATTCATTTTTTTCTCATGTCCATGCATCTTGATGTCAAGATGATCGATTTGAGGATATTTGAGCATCAAAACAATATATTGTAGTGAAAATTTTGAGGTAGGCTCTAACTTGATTGTTTAGAGCCTCGGCTCTATATAAACTTTTTTCAAAACAAATGGCATTTGAAAGTAAAGGAAAATTGTTTCAGGCTGGACCCATGACTACATATACCGTAAAAAAAGTGTAAAGCATCAATCTTAAATATAGATGCAAGCAAGTGTTCCATCTAAAACCCATGGAAACTAACTATTTAAATATTTTCTCTCTAAAATTATTATATCTAGTTTTTAAAATTATTTTAATGTTTTATATTCATGATTTCCAAATATTTTCTCTCTAAAATTATTATTTCTAGTTTTTAAAATTATTTTAATTTTTTATATTCATGATTTCCAAGTTAGAAATTACATATTTTTAAAATTAAAATCCAAAAATCTATCTCAAAAATAAATTTATTAATAAACCCGTATTTCTATATATGCGGGCTTGGCCGCATAAAAACCGGGCCAGTAAAAAAAGAGTGTCCTTGTATGCCATTCCTTTTCGAAACTATTTTCATTTTCAGCCCAACGACTCATTCAAATACGGACAAAGCACCACGTGTCAAAAAGATCATCGAACACGTGGCCGATTTTGTATATACGATATTTCCTTTTGCTATTTTAATATTCCGAAAGCTAAAAAAAGTGTTTTTTTAAGAGCATATTCGATGCGGTCTTGCTTCAAAATCAGGCGAACACATGGCGGGAATCGACTTCTCACAAATGTTTTGCTACTGAAATTCTTACTGAAAAAACCCGGCCCTGCTGTTAAACCCTAGAAATTTGCTTCCGTTTTTATCACTGATTAACCCTTGAATTTTTCTCTGATTTACCGTATTAGATCCTTCTTATTTGATCGATTTCTCAGAGTGGACTTCAAAGTCTTGCTCATAAGCTTTAGCCTAAACCTAGCCCTAGATTTTGCTTTGATTTCTCATCTCAAATCCTGCTTCTCTGATCAATTTCTCAGAGTAAGCTTTAAATTCTTGCTCAAAAGCCCTCGAAACCTAACCCTACTGTTTGCTCTGATATCTCATATCTAAACCTTTTTGTCTGTTCAGAAAACTTCAATTTGCTGCTCATAGACCTCAGATCTTGACCTGACACTAACTCTGAAATTCTAGTTGAAAATCCAAAATTCCAACCCTGTAACATAGAGAAACCCCTTGTGTGTGAGGAGGTTCAGACGATACGTTAAAGAGAGAAAAGGATCGTAATTTTTTTTAAAAACAAAGGTCTTTGGAGCAATCTGCCATGGATTTGAGGGAATCAATCCACAGCCAGAGCGGCTTCTCATTGGAACTCTTGAAACTGGTGTCTTTAGACGAAGCCAAGGATTCAAACTTTGTATTTTCCCCTTTGACCATTCATGTGGTTTTGAGCTTGATCGCTTCTGGTTCGAGTGGGAAAACCCTAGATCAGATCACCTCTTGTCTTAGATCGAAGAAAGTAGATGATCTGAATGCTCTTTCAGCTCAGTTGATCGATCTCATACTTGTTGATGGGAGCGCTAGTGGAGGACCTCAGTTGTCCTTCGTTAATGGAGTTTGGGTTGATAAGAGTTACAGTCTTAAGGCTGGATTTCTTAACACGGTGAATTCGATTTACAAGACTAGCCCTAAGCCCGCAACTTTCCAGGAAAAAGTAAGGATTGATGGTTATAATATTCTCTCGTGTATTTGCTGATTTGTATGTGTATGATATGTAAGCAACGCATATTTTTTTGTTTATTTCCGTCGTTTTATGCTGAGAAAATGCTTGCCACTCTCTGCATCTCCGCTGTCTCTCTCAGAGGTAAGGATTGATGGTTTTACTATTCTCTCGTGTATTTGCTGATTTGTATGTGCATGGTTTGTATGCATTGCATAATTTTGTTCATTTCGATAGTTTTATGCTGAGAAAATGCTGCCTCTCTCTCTCGCTCTCTTATATATGCTGATTTGTACGTGTATGGTTTGTATGCAATGCATAATTTTTTGTTCATTTCCATAGTTTTATGCTGAGAAAATTCCTTTCTCTCTCTCTCTCTC